TGAATCTATAGCACAATAAATCTTTTGAAATTATAATAAGTTAATTATTGAGTTAGACCAAAAAAGAAGAGATATACATATTCTTTTTGTAGGTTTGTCCAAATATATTATTGTTTCCAACTCAAACTCAAGTGGTAACACAGAAAAGATTAATTACTTTTAGTATTCTGCCATTCTGCCTATGTCAATCAAGCCTTAGGTCTGTCTAGCCTTCCAAGCCATTTAATACAAAAAAATGTTTACTATCATAATTTAATAACATTTGGATATTTATAAATTAAAATAATCTTGTTTATGCTATTTAATTGAAAAAAAATCATGAACAAATTTAATTTATTGAAAAAATTATGAAATGATAAAAATTGAAATAGCCACAACCTTTTTTAATATAGGCCTACTATTTTTAGTAAGTTAAATTTAACTGATGTTACTAGATTTAAGACACGAAACCCCATGCCTTTAGGAAACTTTATGTATTTTTTTTTAAGTGCTTCAGTAGATCATTAAATAAAAGGTACTAGCAAAGCTTCAAGTTGCTGTAAAAGGTGTTATAGACTATCCTAATTTATCATGTAATGATAACAATAACATATTTAGGGGTAAATATAAATGAATTTCAATTGATTTCATAAATACCCAAAATACCCGGGCATTTATGGATTTTGGGTATTTACCCGGGTAATTACCCAGGGTATTTACCCCGAGTTTTAAATACCCGGGTATTTTACATCACTATTTGCATTTCTTGAAAATACTCGATAAAGGCAGCCAGAAGTTGCCGCTAAATATATAAAGCATTAAAACCCCCGTTTTCAACGTATTTATTATAGAAAACATATTTTTATAATTTTTTTACCTTTTTACCTGTTTGATGTATTTGTTTTCATTTTGATGTCCCAAGAGGCCAAAAACACTATTCGTTTAAATTGGTTATATACATCCGTGAACGCAACTTGAGTAATTTTTGTCCGATTTGATTGAATTTGGATTGAAGATGTAGGGCGAGATAAACTTGAATGAGTTTGCGAACAAGTTTGATCGAACCATGGGAACGGCGTTTTATGGGGAAAAAATTGGGTTTTCTAATTTTTGCCCCTCAAAACATAACATTTCTCAATTTCTCTCTATACAATTTTAAGAGCGTTTAAAATTGTATGTACAATTTTAAACCCCTCTTTACATTTGAAAAAAAAATGTTGTATCCAATATGGCGGATCCAAGATGGCAGCCAAAAATTTATACCCAGTCAAAATGAAGTACTTACTACTCTACAATGATCTGACGTGGTCCGGAGTTGATATCTTAAGAAATATAGAAAAAAGAAGGGGGGGAACTCATTTAAAACTCATCCTGTATAGGCCTATTAAAAAACTTGATTTTTCTTTTCCGACTACGTTTGGCTCTTCTACCCGACCAATTTTCATGATTGAGGTCTCAAATTGAAGGTATGCACGCACAGATTTGCCATCAAACATCGGCATATATTTATCTATAATCCCACTCGGTTTATACGTAAACGAAATTTGCTCCCCATGTATTTCGTATGGGAGTTAAATTTGGCTTCTCTTTGCCGAGTTTGTTTGGCTCTTCTACCCGACCGATTAAGATGATTGAGGTCTCAAATTGAAGGTATGCACGCACAGATTTGTCATCAAGCATCGGCATGTATTTATCTATAATCCCACTCAGGTTATACGTAAACGAAATTTGTTCTCCATGTATATCTTATGGAAGTTAAATTTTGTTTCTCTTTTCCGAGTTCGTTTGGCTCTTCAACCCCACCAATTTTCATGATTGAGGCCTCAAATTGAGGTCTTAAATTGAAAGTACGCACGCACAGATTTGTCAGCAAGCATCGTTATATATTTATCTATAATCCTATTTGGCTTATACGTAAATGAAATTTGCACCCCATGTAATTCTTATGGGAGTTAAATTTGGTTTCTCTTTCCGATTTCGTTTGGCTCTTCTGCCAGACCGATTTGCATGATTTAGGTCTCAAATTGAAGGTATGCACGCACAGATTTCACATAAATCGTCGGCATATATTTAAATATAATCCCATTCGGCTTGAAATTTGCTCCCCATGCATTTCTTATGGGAGTTAAATTTGGTTTTTCTATTCCGAGTTCGATTGGCTCTTCTACCCGATCGATTTTCATGATTGAGTCTCAAATTGAAATCATGCACGCAAAGATTTCACATCAAGCATCGGCATATACTTACTTACCTACTGTATTACTCTACAAAGAAAAATGTGATTAATTTTTGAATTCTTACATCAATTGAAGATGTATTTCACCAGTTATAATTATATAATCCTATATATTTTGGTCTAAGAGCTTTCAGTGAAATATCGGCTTTTATTTATGCGATTAAAATACTGTATTACTCAATCAAAAATCATAAAATTTGATTTTTTTCTCGGGTATTATATTTATTTTAACGCTGCGGAGCAGCATGGGTCCTCTAGTTAATACTTTAATATGACAGTTTTTTTAAAGAGCAGAGGTTAAGAGGAACAGGTTCTGCTCCTGAGAGTTTCTAAAAATACAAACAAACATTTCAAAGTAAAGATAAAACATCTGATTACAGATAAAAAGGCTTCGGTTATGTAGTAACAGGCCATATAAATAGATTTAACATACTTACAGTACACATTGAAGACTTAAAACTAGAAAATAATTTATTAATAAAAAACTTTTTTAAATAACACGTTTTTAAACGCACCAAAAAGTAGAAAATAATTTATAAATATGTGGAGAGAATAAATACTTGTAAGATTTAAAACTAAAAACGTTGGGCGCATGTAATTGCTAATTTACGAATACCCCCTCTTGTATTATTATTATCTCTTTATTATAATAATAAAAAAATGACATATACATATTATGCGCCCAACGTATTTCCTATGCAGGGAGACAGATTTGCTTCGTGCTGAGATACTTGCACCAATACACACTGGAGACAATAGCGAGTAGGGGTCTCAGTCCCATTCATTGAATCCCGAAATCCCGGGGGATTCGTCTCAGCCAATCCCGGGATCATATAATATTATGATTTTTTAACTTTTTAGCCATTTTAAATGAGCTAGAAGTCCCCTCGTTGAGTACTTTAATGTTTTAAACTGGCCTTACCAGTGTCGCAATGTTTCAGTTTTCTAAGTAAATAAATATACCACGCAGAACTTTGATCGCCCGTATTTCTTATTTACAGTGTATAAATGTTGATATGTCACTCTAGAATATAATAAATACATTTAAGCAAATCACGAGCAACCGCACTCGCACGTAGCCTTTACGTTACGCTAATAGATAGATTAAAGATAGCTGAGATAAAAAGATAAAATGGGAAGAATCACGAGCAGCAGCGTAAAAATGTTATTTTGACTGACAGCAATAAAACATTATAAGATACTGTACACCTGCTTATGTAGTAGCGTGTGTATGGAATACGTAATTTAGGATTGTAAGAAATTTAATCACCACACTATAACCAAATACGAAGATAAAGTTATAGACCCTAAATATAAGCAATCTTAATAATGAGATTATAAGGGTGTGTTTGTAGTTACTAGTGTACATGTTGCTCGAAATCGAGCAATCAAAAAAAGGAGTTATTTAAAAACTAATAACTTCATTTAAGACCAAATATAAGTCATAAATTCCGATGAGTTTAAATAAAAGAGTCAACTCAAAAATTACGTAACTAATGATAATACTCACAATGTACTTCAGTTCAATATAGCCTAATCAACATTTCTTGTAAATATTTTATCATTTTTCAAAAGCTTATCTGGCTTTTAGTGTATTGTACAAATGTTTCCCACTTATAGCCGCAATTGGTTGTCCATGATGGTCTTTGTCAATGATAATGTAGTCTGCATGGTATCACCCATTGTCACCAACGTTTACAAATTTCAGTCTTTATATTAATAGCACCAAATAACCACTACCTGATTTTCTGCATAACCTCTCTGTCACAATTTTACAATTAACATAAAATGTACTTCTTCTCACTTTTAATTTCTGACAACAGCTGGAGTTTCATAACAATGTTTTTTCCCATGTTAATCGTATGGAGAAATTCGAAACTTAAAAGGGTCCCAGGGCCTCACTCTCTAATTATTTCCCTAAAAAGAAAGTTTCCTGCACAACTTCACGTTACGCTCTTTCCAACAACACCAAAAACATTTAAATCGGTTCAGTAGTGTTAAATAAGTATGGATATTTTATGGTTCAATTAAAATAATACTTTAACTAGCTGTTACCTGTTACCCACGGGCTTCACCCCGTATTAACAATATGCCGTAGGTGGCACGGTGAGACCTAGACCCGGGACCGATATACTTTTCCATTTTGATGTCCCTAGAGGCCAAACATGCTATTTGTAAAAATTTGCATATATGTAAATATATATATAAACATCCGTAAACGCGATAATTTTAGTAATTTTTGTCCGATTTTAGCAAAATTTGGCTTAAGATGTAGTGCGGGATAAACATGAATGAGTTCGTGAACCAGCATGATCGAACTATGGGAACAAATTATGTGGGTTACAGGGTAAAAATTGGTTTTTCTCATTTTTGTCCATTTAAAACATAAAATTTCTCAATTTCTCTTCAAATCATTAAAGAGCTTAAAAATAAATAATTCACGTGTTCTTTAAGTTTTGTGTGCTTGGTCTCAGACTAGAGTAAAATTGGGTTAACAGTTAAAAACTGGACCCTGCAGTAAAAAAATTCTATTAAGGCCCCTTTTTTGTGACTTGAGAAGAATGAACGTGGTTCCAAGTAATGAAATCAATTTACTTGTGAAAGGTGGCTATAGTGATACCAAACAAGTCAGTTGAACTAAACTTTGCTGGGACCTACTAGGGAGACATAAGTTAGTTGTTAACATTTTTGTGTATATAATTTATGAGCTAAATTGAGTTGAATAGTATAGTGTTTTAGTCAGTAGAATGCCAGTAGTACGAGACCCCATACTGATTAAAAGTAGGTGTGTGCCTGTTCCCAGGAGACATACGCCGTACTTCGGCCAGCCGGACTACCGGATCTACGAACTCAACAAGCGGTTGCAGCAACGCACCGAGGTAAACAGCTGGCTTCATAATATCATTTGTGTAAAAAGAATACTTTCAATATCTATATTATTTAATATAGATTTATATACATATTTTTTAGATAAAAAATGCATATTTTTATGTGTTTGATTTATTGATACTTGGTAGACTTTACAACAAATACTATTGTAATTATGGCTACAGCATTTTATTCAAATTGAACTTGGCTGCACTGACATTGAATTCTTTAGGCTAAATCTCATGTTGCTATCAGAAAAAAGAGGTTTTGAATTCAATTCTTGTAGTTAGAGATTATCTTGTAAAAGTCAATCTATTGTTTCACCACTACCTCTAAAATATTTTACGTGTAAATTGCTTTGAATCCTGATTTTAGTTTTTTGTTCAAAATGTATACAGTACATTTAACACTTAGAATTATATTACAAAATACAACATAGATATTTAAAACAGTAATGTGGGATGGTTAGATAATTTTATAAAATACTAGGGACGTAACTAATACTTGCAAAATCAAGTGATGCACTCCAAGTGTCCAAGTTGACAGTTTTACAACTCACTTATCAGGGTGTATTTTGAGGCAAAGTTCAGTATTGAATGCATGAGATGGTTCCATAGTCACATCAACTATCTCAGTGCAACTAGCAGGAGAGTTGACTGTTTATAATATACCATTCATCTAGATTGCACGTTCAGTTTTTGGTGGTTGACACTATTATTTAAGGTAATCCACCCCATTCACTCTACAAATACTCACCCTGTATGCACATTCAGTTTTAAAATGTGTGCACAAAATCTGTTGTTGTAATGGGGGGGGGGGTTAGCAATCACTGTGCAACTGGAGTAATATACTTGATACAGTTGCTCCGCATAGACAGTCAACTGTGATCACTACTTTACTTCACTTGCAGCAAATGTGTGTTTATTGGCCACAAGGAATGCCCTAAAATAATAATTAAAGAAATAAAAATGGTTTCATCCTTTTTTACTCATTTAGGAAAGTGATAACCTGTGGTGGGATGCATTTGCGACCGAGTTCTTTGAAGATGATGCGACTCTCACGCTAACCTTGTGTTTAGAAGATGGGCCGAAGAGATACAGTAAGTTTGATATACATTCCAATACTATTTCATATTACTAATTTTCATATATTATACTGATCTTAAAAACGGTTAAGTTATTCTTCTTGCACTCATTTTCTGAATTATGGATATGTTACTCACAGGATGAGTAATGAAAAAGTTGACTGACTGAAGTTTCTGACGATTTTTGCCATCTCTAATGTCAAAATACAGAACATAAAAATAAACTTGTTTTAACTGTCATGCCATTCAGTATTTAACCCAGTGAACAATCCAAAATTAGATTCTGTCCCTTTTAATTTAATTGTTGATTATATATTTTTATAATATGACAAATATAGTTACATGATTGTGAATGCAAACATAAAAGTTGCAAAGTCAATATTTATGCGCTTTTTCAAATTTAAAATTCCCTCAAGGTGTAACAAAACACACCTTTGTTACAAACAATAGTGATGGTATACAATGCAAGTATCCAACATTGTCAGTTTTTAAAAATATCAAACTGAATGCTTTATAGAGGGGTTTGAAGTTGTTGTGTAAGACATTCTAACTCTTTGTATAAAGACTACAAAATCTTTAAATTGAATTCATTCTATTTTGGTTATTCCATCTCCTAATTTTTTCTCTTTCAAATCTATCAAATAATAATTTGTTTGGACGCAACTTCAGTTCATGCAAAGACTTGTAACCCATGTTGGCTTATATATGAAAAACAAAACTATATACCTATACAGTTTTTATAAAACATAGATGTTATGTGTAATGTTAATTTGATTAATTAATCATACTATTAATTTCACATTTATGTTTTTTGATTTCTCCATGGAATAACCTACAGTATGTACATTTTGGTAATTTATTTTTCGGGTGATAAAGATGTAATTCATTCATTCATTCCCTATGAAGTTCATTATTAAAGCATTTTTTAAATGTTGTGTTAAACAAGATTGTGACCAAGCTTTTCAGTCGGTGTAAACAAAAAATTCCTAAAGTTTCCTTGATAATCATACAAATTTAGCTGTGCTGGTCTTTTCAATAATTTTTTTAAAGAAACTCAGTCCTCAATGTTAACTGCAAAGGTGATGTAGTTTGCATACCATCATTCTATTTCAAATTTATTTTTGATCTAAACATTTTCCATGCTATTTTATCACTTTTTTTATCACTGAAGAATTTAATAATGTGCTTCTGTTACTGGTGGCTATTGTGAGTTATTGTGTAGTACTATTTGTACTGAAATTAAAATGCCTACTTTATATGGAAATACACAATATAACAAGTCAATCGATGCAATTAAAACCAACTCTACACTTGTTAAAAGTTTGTTGTTGAGAAAATCACAAATACTTATTAGTCCTATTTGTACATGTACATTACTAGTATAAGTCTGTTTTCTAGTATTAAATTAATACTGGTTTCATTTGTTACAGCGATAGGGAGGACGTTAATTCCACGGTATTTCAGAAGTATATTTGAAGGTGGTGTGACCGAATTGTATTATAACCTAAAGCATCCAAAGGAATCATTTCATAACACGAGTATTACATTAGACTGTGATCAATGCACCATGGTGACGCATCATGGAAAGCCTATGTTTACTAAGGTAATAAAGTTTTATCATCTAATTTGATTCAATACATAATCTTACATTCTCCTCGCTTAACTTTTGTATTTTGATAAGTTTCTATTTTAGTTTGTGTAAATATGTTGAAATTACCATTAGAAAAGCCAATACTACTTTTTTTGTACAGTAGCCTCTGGCTAGTCTGTCCAGCCCAAGTGTGTACCCTTGGTCAGACTACAAAAATAACTGAATGATCTGGTATTGTCTACAAGCAAATAAAAGTACTGTTCTCTAACTATTTAATATAAAGTAAAATCACATATTACAACTGTATGCAATAATTCAAAAGACCTAGGCCTATAAAATTCAGGGTGTCCAGCTTTCCCGAAAACCGAGAAAACTGGGAATTGTGGATACATTTTGAAAACCAGGAAAAAATCCCTCTGCGTAAGGGTACATTGCGCATGGAACCGGAAAAAAGCTGCCCAGAAATCTAAGATTTTTCTTGTTTTGCGTCATTGGACAAAAACGCGTTTGCCCAAAACTAGGCCTACTCAAATCAGTGCCGTTGCTGTATACATGGGAAATCATCATGAATTTCACCACCATTGCAAGATGATCACAGATCTGGTCACAATTGCAAAAAACAGTCACTTGTGTTAAGATTATGGCTGGAGAGATTATCACCGATGCTGCCACAATCAAACGCAACAAAATATAAAAAGTATCAAACATGATCATAACACATGACAATGTACATTTAAACAGTTCAAAGGCAAAATTTTCAATATTCCAATAATACCTTCACAATTATGAAACTAAATGTCACAAAGTATAATGTTTACTGTATGCTGTGTAAACCTTACTCGATTGATAGTTTACGAAGGATGTCGGGGTTGTAGACTCCCTTCATGACACTATCAACATCGACATGTTCTTCCAAGAATATTTCTCTGACAAAGTAATACTTAACTTCGATATGCTTTGTTCTGTGATAAAACTCAGGTTTTTTACGAGTTTCACAGCACTGCCATTGTCAATTTTCAGAACAGGTGTCAATTGTGAGTGACAACTTATCCTTATATATAATATGTGAAGGTGATTTCTACAAAACACTACTCCTCCATTAATAATGGACGGATTTTTACAAACGATGTGTCAAAATTAAGTATTTTTTGTGTAGACGCACCCTTTCACCAATTCCTGTAATAAAAGTCCTCGGGCTTTGCCCCACAGGCCATCAAAATCCCAAAATATTTCTTATGAAGAAAAGATTTTGTTTACTTGTAAATTATATTAATTAATATAATTGGATTTTGCTCTATTTTATGTACATATCGCCCATCGCTCCTAATTTAAACAGACGAATAATTAGTATTAATTGCATACTAAGCTGTTCATAGTAAACACATGATACACACAAGATCGTTTGTTTTCAGTTTCAATAACTGGAGTGAAGTGATTGATTACATTAACTTTGGTTTGACTCTTTTAAGTCATCAGAAATTATGACTGTTATTAGTTTTGAAATACACCTGTAATACTTTGCAATTGCTCGAATTCGAGCAACAGGTGCACTAGTTTCTTCAAACAGACGTTTCAGCCATATTGCTTCTTTTTAGCCCCTTCACATGCAGCCACAAACTCGGCTTCTGTCGTAGACAGTGCTACAGAACGCTGTTTCTCGCTTTGCCAGCTCACTGGACGTCCAGCATAACAACTGATAAACCCAGACGTTGATTTTCGAGTACTTTCCTCTTCAGTAAAATCAGAATTGGTGAAAACATCCAGATTACTGCATGGTGAAGACTTGTACAAGATACCAACATGGTTCCTCGAGGATATCTAAATATTCTCTTGACACTCGACCTTGAGCTTGAGTAGGATGTTCCATATTACTCGCAGCCATTCCCACAGTAAAGGAAATATCAGGTCTCGATACACTTAAATGCATTAAGCATTTACATCAAGCCTCACGGTATGGAACTTTTCCATTGACAGTCTCCACTGGACCATTGTTTGCAGGTCTTTCACATGGCGTGGAAATGGAATTAGAGTCACTCATACCTAAACTTTGTAATATGCGTTTTTTAGTATAGGATGATTGACCAATCCATATTCCACTTAAACATTTCTTTATCTGATATCCCACATAACAGCCAAGTTCACCAGTTTTGATTTTAAAAGCTTTGGATAAACTTTTCATGAAATCATTACTGAAGCCATTGTCTGTCCCAGCTACTAACCCATCATCTATATAAATGAGTACAAAAAGCTTCTTCCCTTAATCGTTTTTATAAAAAAGACTGGGATCCTAGTTACTTCTCTTAAGACCTTGAGATTCAAGAAACTTGTAAGTTTCAAGAATAAACTTCAGGTTGTTTCATGTAAACATCCTCTGAAAGATCACCATATATAAGAATGCAGTCTTCACTACTTAGAGAAGTACTAAACCAAAACTATTTTTGCTTCGAGGAAAAATTTTACACCCAAACAGATGGCCTTGCTATGGGTTCCCCATTATCAGGCATACTCGCTGATTTGTATCTAAGTCACATTGAAAAAGAATATATATTTTCAGAACAGAACAAATATCAAAGTAAAATATTTTCCTATTTCAGATACGTTGATGATACTCTATTGGTGTTCAATGGCAATATTAGGCAACTTGAGTTACTCCACAACTACTTGAACAGCATTACACCTAAGCTAAAATTCACACTGGAGATCGAAAAAACCCAACAAAATAAACTTCTTAGATTTGACAATAGAAAAAAGATGACAGAAAATTATCTTACAACATCTATCGGAAACCTACCACTTCAACTCAGACCATTCATGCAACGTCCTACCATCCTTACTCATAAAAAATAGCCGCTTACAATAGTATGATCAGGGTTGGTACGGTCAGGGAATACCTGGAAAACCTGGAAATGTCAGGGAATTTTGTTGGTCTGGAAAAGTCAGGGAATTTTGGAAAAAATCTGGAATTTCTCTTGAAAGACTACATTTTTTACAGATATGCTACATTTTGCATCTACGTCTCAATACTTGGTCAAAAACATCGATGTTTGACGAAAACATCGATGTAACAAAAACATCGGGAACCTACCATCGATATAAAAAAACATCGAACATCAACAGACATTCTATCATCACCCTCTGATTACTGGCTTTAATTGAACGCACCGAGCTCCCAGTGTTTCTACAGGACCAAAAGAATATAATCCCGGTCACTGGGTTAAGAAATCCCGTTTAATCCCTTAAGATTTTTGATGTTAAATTCTGAGTGTTAAATTAGACTTATTGTTTTTAAATAGTTGTTTTAACATTGCTATTATATTTTGATAAGATAATTTTTTCGATTGAGGCTAGTTTTTCACTAAAATAAAGCATAGTAAATAAAAACGGACGTCATAGCCAAAACTCCTGTTTTATCCCACATCCCCTTCAAATCCCGCTCATGATCTAAAAATCCTGTTTTCGGGATAATAATCCCACGTATGGAAACACTGCTAGTACCGCGATGCGCGGAAGGATAGGCCTACATTCATCATTTCAATTTCAATACGATACTGAATACAATTCCTCATTGAATTTATACCAATACTGATTCAACCTTTAATAAACTAAAAAAAACTGCACTTGTAGGAGTTAATAAAAAAATGTATCCTGTTAGTTGAAACATTTAATAGTTTAGTTTGGTAGGTACTACTTTTTGTCTCTGGTACAAGCATGGTAGTTATTTTTCCAATATCACATGTTTCTTCCGATATAAGCCTTCGATATCGCAAACAAAAAATAGCGATATATATCAGTATCAGAAGCACCGTATCGTCTATCTGCTAGTGTCAAGTCAAGGCCAAGTAGAACATAAAGTGTGAGGTTAAGTTAGTTGGTACTCTTAATTTTCCAGATTCCAGATGTTTAATTCTTTTCTTATTGGTTTTATGAGAAAACTATTGAGGCCTACATTTTTCTAATAATACTTGATTCTGACTATTCAATATCGTCTTACGGTATACCTGGAAAAAGTATAGTATCAGTCTGGAAAACCTGGAAAAGTCAGGGAATTTCATATTCCAAAATCAGTACCAACCCTGATGATTCATAGAATGTTAAATGTCCCTCTAAACAGTGAAAAATACAAGATAGAATTAGATACTAGTGATGTGTCAAAACCGAATCACAAATCTCAAAACCATCAAAACTTAGGAAAAGTTTCGGTTTCGAGATTCAATCACCAAGTTTCGAGATTCAAAAGTTTCAAAATTGAAGATTTTGGCAGTTTTATTTTTGAAACGTTATTGTTTTCAACGCTGTTTCCAAACAAGCTGGTAGCAACAGAGCAAACATCACCATTGACAGTAATGAAACAAGTAAATTTTATTCTGAACTTCAAAAGGTATCTTAAATACTATTACTGGTACAATTCAGTTTCACATCAATATTTACTAAACAAAAAGAAATATTGACCACTAAATTTTCTAATTAATCTAATATTCATGTTCATGTTGGTGTTAGAAGTTTAAGTCATTTTTTTGTTGGTTGTTTATGAAAAATTATGTTGTATTGGGTTTTAAGATTATCAGTCAAATTATTCACATATTTATGTTATTTCACGTATATCTGAATATACGTGTTTCATGTTCATGTTTCATATCTCTTTCAGTTTTGATTGCATACTTAACATTTTATGATTATGGAAAGTAAATAAAAGAAACGACTTATAACACTTAAAACATATATTTGCGCTTATACTGTTACTCACAAGACGGTAAATATACAAAACAGATGGTAAGTGGTGATCGATTTCGATTGGACACTCCAATCATCATTAGACCCAATAGGCAAAATGTTCGAAATTTTAAATATTGACATTTCGCCTATTGGGTCTGATGATGATTGGAGTGTCCAATCGAAATCGATCACCACTTACCATCTGTTTTGTATATTTACCGTCTTGTGAGTAACAGTATAAGCGTAAATATATGTTTTAAGTGTTATAAGACGTTTCTTTTATTTACTTTCCGTAAATTTAATAACACGTACAATGCTGATCAAGATGTTATTTTATGATTATGTGTATTTTTTTGTAACCTTGACCTTTGTAACCAGCTAAGTAAAAAAGTTTTGCTTTTAGGTTTTTAAAGTTTTGGTTTCGGTTTTGAGATTCGAAATTTCTGGTTTTGACCATCACTATTGGATACAATCAAATTCATCGCTGCTTCAAATGGGTACCAAGATAATCTAATTGATAAACTCGTCGCCAAACAGATCAAACGAAAGAGTGAAGTAGGCCTAAACACCCGTCAGTCTGATAAAAAATATGCTTGAGTTGAATTCAATGAAAGCATCGAGTATAGCCACAACACCTGAAAAACAATAACATCACTTTACCATTTAGAACAACAAATAAAGCCAATAACATATTAAAAGACAATAGTCATCTTAAATAATTAGAAAAAAACCAGCTCAACAGGAATCTACAAAATCAATTGTGCCGACTGCCCGAGTTTTTACGTTGGACAAACGGGACGAGCATTCAAAACCCGTTACAAAGAACACCGTCCAGATCCGAGAACAGACACACAGAAGTAAACATTTGCCCAACATCTTATTGACAGTAATCATGATAATGAGTGACATTAACACCGGTCTACAAGTGATATATTGCTGTCAAAATGGAAATAAAATGGACGTCTTGGAGGAGTTCAAAATTTATAAATCCTTAAAAAACCCAGATCAGAACAGCCATATCCTCAACGATAAACTACAGTTTAAATCAAATTTTATTTTTAACGCCCTACTCCAACAAGGAAACCTATCATCTGAACAGCTGACCATAACTACTGATAACATAGACAATTCAACTAGATAGCGCTCATTGACCCTCCGTCGACAGTCTGTTCCCGGTCGTGTAACGGCAATGTTTCGTTCCCATGATAGGCCTATCCAACTAAATGTATTATTTATTTATGTGTCGTGTGGTAAGTGTCATGTGTGTAAACCAACAACAAAGCTATACAAGCGGATTTTTTTATGTACATTCCTGGACTGTCTGCTTGACAATGGCATCTCGTCGAAACATGTAGCATCTACGGAAGCTAAAATTTGGAACTGACGACAGGTAATAAAAAAACAAAAACCAATATTATTTATTCATTTAAACCAATTGAAAGTTTCAGTATAAATCTTACAAATGTTTTTATTTGTTTACACTAAAACATACCTTTATTATTTGTAAAATCAATATTATAATATAGGTTACATGCTTAACAATATGATTTCGAGTGTCATACAATATGAGTGTCTGAGTTGCCTTTAAAGTTTTTTTCATGTTTTTGAGATGATGGAATCTACTCCACAGAAGGAAAAGGACATTTTGACGGAAATTATAGAAGTTTACAAATCTTACAAACTGTTTTGGGACACTTCTCAAACTTTAAATTTACACTTGGAAAAACTAAAATAAAACACTTTTTAAAATCTAATAAAAACGTTCTCCAACAAAGGAAAGCAACGCACTGAGCTCAGATCGGGCGCAGAGGAAAGTAAATACAACACTCTGTCGACCAGGTGACAGGGCGGTCGGGACCAGGAACGGGAACGGGTAGTGTAAACAGGTTTTTTTTAGCAAATTTCCCATATAAGGAATAAGCTATTACTGTAGGTCTCTTGGTAATACTTGGACTGGGGACTGATTTTTACTTTTTCACTTTGATGTCCCTAGAAGCCAAAAACACCACCCGTTCAAATTCATATATATATTTTATAAATTTGGTACAAACGTGTGAACCTACGTTTATTCGCAGAGAGTTTGCGAACCAGCATAATCGGACCATGGGAACGGGATGTTATGGGGGATTTATGGGGTAAAAATTGGTTTTTCTTTTTTTTTTACTCTTAAAACTTAAAAATATACTAAAATATATTTTGAAGAGCTTAAAGAAAAAAATAATTTATTATATTGAAGTGTTTCTGTATAATTATTGGTTAATTTACGGAGAAAATTGTAAATTAAAAATTCCCATATTATTCTAATGGAGAATAATTAAACGGTTGTAGTTTGCATTGTTTATGGATACATTTGGATCAAACCTGGCAAATCGATTTATTTTATACTAAGCTATTAATCTACATAAATAAAATATTTTTTATATCAAAAAACACTTTATTGCCCTCCCTGTTAGGCAGCAAACCTAGGTAGGCCTACTCGTAAAATCTAATGTTATTTGAATAGATTTAATTGAAAATCAAATTAGGCAAATGGAAATTCGCTTAGTCTGCAGGTTTGCTGCAGCGGGGGGTGTTTTAGATATACCTTATATTTGGATAATTGGTTTGATACTTTCCTCTAAAGGATACCATTTTGTACAGCTTGTGACACCTAAGCTGGCACATGACCGATCGCTACAAGCATCTAGTACAAAAATAACATATGCCGTCATGCGGGTTGCATCAACTGTCCTCGCGACCATCCTGAAGGCGCTCAGTTCATTAAACACGGGGAGTCAACCCCGTGAGTAAGCAGACATGTTTGCAGTCCGGTCTTTTCCTTACTTCCACCCATACCCCGCCTACACTGCCCACGCTAAGCCAAGTGCTAGCTTATTTGTCACGAGCTGTACTACTGTAAATTAAGATATATATAGAAGTTGTTCTTTTACGTATGTCTATTTGAAGTTATTCTGATCTCAATGCTTATAATAAGCAGGTACACACAGTTGTTTATTATTCCATTCTGTTGAAACTGTTACGGAAACACTTAAATATCTCCTCAGTTCCCTTATTGTTTGGTGTAAGTAACTGTTTTTGTTTTGTCAGGTTTGTACGGAAGGTAGACTGATCCTAGAGTTTACGTTTGACGACCTGATGAGGATCAAGTCGTGGCACCTAGCAGTAAGAACTCACAGAGAGTTGGTCCCTCGCTCTGTTGTGGGACTACACACTCAGCAGGACCCCGGCATGCTGGACCAGCTGACCAAGAATATCACACGCCAAGGCATCACCAACTCCACCCTCAACTACCTCAGGGTAATAGGGATTCTACTTTTACTTTGGTACAGGGCAAGAATATTTTCCTTCCTGATTTTCTGGAAGGAAATTACATGAGGATTTCTTCTTAAAGGTCAACTTTAGTTTGTTTTTGTACTATTTTACTAAGAAATTAAATGAATGAACTGTTTTATGTCATAACTCAAACTCAACTTACTTTATTTACCTTTTTTTAAACAAACAAACAAACAACAAATAAACTTACATATGATTATAAATTAAAAAACTAACATGTGTTATAAAATAAACTGTTCTTACAACATCCTACCTTTTAAGATTGGTAGTTCTTCAACCACCTTGGTTTGTGTATATTTCTCTTTGGGTGGTTGTATGGTTCTGTTATACGTGTATTCTCAGACAAATTTTGTTCACTCTTTTCTTCTTTTAAATAAGGGGCCAGTTTGAGTTGGAATCGATTTCTCATTACATTTCTTTTATCGGTTTCAACAATATATGAGCAAGGGCTGTCCAGGATTTTCACAATTTTGCCATGTCTTCTAAGGTCCACAATGCAAACTAGGTCTCCTATCTGAAGAGGATCGAGAGTTTGCACTTAATGTTTTTTATCATAATTGTATTAACTTCTTACGATATTTTTCTTCTCTCTCTCTTTAAGATCCTTTAGATCTGGTGACAAAGCATACGACCGTTCTGAGGATATGTGCTCCGTAATGCTCCGAAGCTGAGAGGGGCTGTACCCATTCCAGAGTGGTGTTGTCCGATAGGCTAGAAGTGCTAAATGAGGGTCTTCCACATTTTTCTTTAGAATATTTTTGGCGACTTTTTTTACTACCTCCTCAGCCTCTCCGTTGTTTTGGGAAAATGTTGAGCTACTTGTTATATGCTTAAAGCCGTACTTTAGAAAATTTCTTGAAATATAAATATTCAAGTACTTGAAATTGAGACCTACAATCAGAGCTAACTTCTTCTGGAATGCCGTGTCGACAGAAAAAGGCTTAACACTTTATTATAACTTCTTGTGATGTTATAATGTAATTCAGCTATCTCAAAATACCTGGAGTAATTTTTTTTTTTCATTGTGGAAACTAAATATCCAAATATCCAAAAAATTACAAAATCTTACAAGATTTTATAAACAGCTTGCTGCAAAAGCCAGGAAAATTTGGCTTGTCTGCAGCTCATATAGAAAATCTTGTTCTTGATAACAATGCACTTTGTCCCTTGGTCAGTCCTTATCCATATTACACTTGGTTTTCCTTGTTTCTTGTCAAGAACTGCTATCATTGTTGTTTCGTTTCCACTTAAACTCTACCTTTCTATAGAATACTAACATTAACTTGCTTTAACAACAACTTGAAACAATTATCTTAAATAAATACTCTGTCACAGTCAAAAACCAAATACCTTCAAGTTCGAACAAATCCATTGCAAGTCTTTTCCCTGGTCTGTCAGGGAATGGTGAGGGAAGCAATGGTTCATGGCTATTCTTGGAATGTTGAATACAAGTAGGGCATGATTTCACCATACTTTCAATCTCTGAAGAGATTCCTGGCCACCAGACTGAGTTTTTTGCGCATAAATGACACATGGTAATTTCAAATTACCTTTATGTACTCTTTGAAGTGTCCAAGGTTGAAGAACTGGTGGAATAACAAGTCTTGAACCTCATAGTATCATCTCATTATCAATGCTTTGCTCATCCTTAACTGAATAATATGGTTTTAGGTCGTCTCTTAATGATGCCTTAAGTCGTGGGCCAATCTTGGATGATAATTTTTTCAGTTCACATAAAGTTGGATCATTATTTTGTTCCTCCAATACTTCAGCAACAATGCAGTCGTTTATATTAATAGACGACAAAACCATTTGAACAAAAGGTTGAGTTTCTTCTTCTAACTCATGGTTATTGGTGCCTGAAAATGGGAGAGGTGCTCTTGAAAGAGCATCAGGAACTAGAAGCTTCTTTCCAGGAATATAAGTCATTAAAAACTCATACCTCATGAGACTCAAGCAAATTCTTTGAATTCTTGGAGACAATCCATCAAGGTGTTTGGATTTTAAAATTTGATGTAGAGGATTGTCTGTTTGTATTGTTATTCTCTTTCCGATAATAAACTCTTCAAACTTTTCACATGTCGAAGCAACAGCTGAAACCTCCCTCTCAATCAGGGTGTCTACCAACCGGGAAATCCTGAGAAACCGGGAATTGTACTTAAATTTTTACTGGCCATGAAATGTACGGGAATTGTCCTTAAATGCCAGACTATGTCCTTAAATTTTTAATGGGCCATAATTTTATTGATCGCTAGTTGGTTAGGAGCACATAAAAGGCTTATCAGATGTTTGTTTACATTTTCATAATTTATTACTAGAGTAATTATGCAATAAAAATCCCATTAACAATCTCAAACCCATTAATATTTTATCACCACAATCAAGTGTCAAGTCAAGTACTTTCAAGAACTGTTGTCTCAGCAGCTAGCTCATAAAAGTTGTATCACTTTTATTCCTTTACAACTTCTTTTTTTATTACTAGGGTAATTATTATTAGATCTCAAACCTATTTTATCGTGAAAATAATAGCTTTATAATGGCTGTTAAATTTCACTTCTTACTTGTACTTTGGCTTGAAGATCAATTTGCCGCGGCCAGTGCCTAGTGCCATAAAACTGTTTATGGTTTCATATTAAACATTTAAATAATCTACAGTCTTATTTTGTAAGTTAAACCCTTTTTTATGGATATTTTATCTTTCAATTGACAAAACCACAATTGTTGTTTGCATTAATGTTTTATCACTATGTAGGCCTGCTTGGTTTCAAATTATGTCGTTGCATTTTCTGTATCTTTGTCTTATATTGTTGGCTATTCAGGTTTCAATGTTTTTTGTTTCCCATATATTTATTTTAGTGATGGTCGGATCCGGATATCGGACTACCGGATCCGCCGGATCCGAGCTAGATCCGGCACCGGATCGGATCCAAAAAATTCCTGATCTTGGGCTGGATCCGGTTTTGATGGATCCGATTTTTTTCAAATTTTTTCCTGATTTTTTACTAACACAAAGCTGTCTGTATCACTGTACAACCCCGATTTTTTTACAACACAAAGCTGTCTGTATCACTGTACAACACCGATTGTTTAACTAACACAAAGCTGTCTGTATCACTGTACAACCCCCATTTTTTACTAACACAAAAAGCTGTCTGTATCACTCTACAACCCCGGATGTTTTTACTAGCACAAAGCTGTCTATATTACTCTACAACTCCGATTTTTTCCTGATTTTTTACTAACACAAAAAGCTGTCTGTGTCACTCTACAACACCGATTTTTTCCTGATTTTTTTACTAACACAAAGCTGTCTGTATCACTCTACAACCCCAGATGTTTTTACTAGCACAAAGCTGTCTCTATCACTCTACAACACCGATTTTTTCCTGATTTTTTACTAACACAAAGCTGTCTGTATCACTCTACAACCCCGGATGTTTTTACTAGCACAAAGCTGTCTGTATCACTCTACAACACCGATTTTTTACTAACACAAAAAGCTGTATGTATCACTCTATAACCCCGATTTTTTACCAACACAAATCTGTCTATATTACTCTACAACTCCGATTTTTTCCTGATTTTTTTACTAACACAAAGCTGTCTGTATCCTTGTACAAGACAGTTTTTTCCCCCGAGTGTTTGTCTCTTGATGCAAACAACTTATATGGCAAGGCCATGTCTCGATGTTTGTATCTAGATGCAAATAACTTGTATGGCAAGGCCATGTCTCAGTGTTTGCCTCTTGATGCAAATAACTTATATGGCAAGGCCATGTCTCAGTGTTTGCCTCTTGATGCAAATAATTTATATGGCAAGGCCATGTCTCAGTGTTTGCCTCTTGATGCAAATAATTTATATGGCAAGGCCATGTCTCAGCGTTTGTCTCTTGATGCAAATAACTTATATGGAAAGGCCATGTCTCAGTGTTTGTCTTTTGATGCAAATAACTTATATGGCAAGGTCATGACTCAGTATTTGTCTCTTGATGCAAATAACTTATATGGCAAGGTTATGACTCAGTGTTTGTCTTTTGATTCAAATAACTTATATGGCAAGGTCATGTCTTAGTGTTTGTCTCTTGGTGCAAATAACTTATATGGCAAGGCCATGTTTCAGTGTTTGTCTCTTGTCTTTCCGAACTGAATCGGACCCAATTTTTCGGATATCTTCACACCTCTAGTTTTTAGTTTTGTACCTGGATGATAAGCTAACGGCCTATAATTTCGTCTAAACAATATCCTGTTAGTATTTTAATCTCACCCGATGCTTCGTGATAAAAAATAATAAAAGTATGATTTAAATTGGCATTCTGTTAATTACGTTTTTTTTTAACCCGCCCTTATGACAGTGTGTATCCGAAGATCCGGATCCGAATTTTTCAAGATCCGGATCCGGTACCGACATTTTCTTGGATCCGCCCATCACTAATTTATTTATTGAGTTGTATGCTTTAAGCAATCAAAATCTTATGAACTACAATGATGATAGTGACTTTGATGCTATTATAACCTCATTGTTTGTTACTCAGTTTATATATGCCCTCCTAAATAATTAGGTCTAGGCCTGGGTATTTTGATTCTTTAAAGAGCTGTAAAATATATTAAGAAAATGTAATTGAGCCTAAGATAAACAACTAATGATTGCTATGTGTCGATATTAACTTTGCAAATGAAAATACAATAATCTTACTCTGTGCTTATTGCTTATTAATAGCCGCTTACCATACCTTGATTTTGTACTAAGAATTGAGTAACAATATGCATTAAAGATTTTTTTTTCAAAAGTAGTCGAGAACCTAACGTTGTGCCAGGGCGAATCATGCCAAATTAATCGGCCTGGATCGGATAAGCTATGTTATGAAGTTTATGTGACCGATGGAGATATTTGTCGCTATCGCAGGAGACAATGGTTGCGTTTCTCTGTTACACTATAAAAGCTTTACCTAAAGTATAGGTAGGCCTATGTTTGTTTACTTTCAATAAATTTCTATTTTGTAATTTTTAACTCTTATCTATTATTATTTACTTTTCTCTCTGGTACAACTACAGTGAATAACAAGATTAATAAAGTTTGACAAATCAGGAAAATTATTCGGTAGGCCTAATGACACCGACAAAGGTTACGGCAAAGTGTCCTTAAATGTATGGGAATTGTCCATGAATTTTTTATCCAGAATGTAGTAGACACCCTGTCAATGTTTGCATAGGTTTTTCAGAAGGGAGAAGGCTTCGGGATGCAAATTATACTGGTCGTATTGAAACATCATCTTGAATTTTTGTTGATGTAGTATTTGACCCATATGTACCTATTCAAACATATGACTTATATTATAACTTTAAGGCCAATAACTTGTATGGCTAGTCAATGTCAGAGTATAGTATATATTACGATACAAAATCAATAACCTGTATGGTTATGCAATGTCCAATGCCACAGTACTGTATATTACGACCTCAATAACCTCTATGGTTAGGCATTGTCACAGTACTGTATATTATGACGTCAATAACCCTTATGGTTATGTAATTGGGTACGCAGACAACGTTGCAGCTTTGATAGCTGCACGTAGCCGAGTTGTGCGTACCATAAACGCATGGATGGCAGACCACAGTCTCTCGCTCGCTTTGAGCAAAACAGAGATCGTGATACAGTGGAACTTGGATAATTCGAACCTCAAGGGACCAGCTAAAAACTTCGAATTATCCAAAAATTCGAATTAAATAAGTTCTTATAACCAGGGCCGTAAACAATAAAAACACGTTTTAAATTCAAACTATTAACTTTATTGATACTATTTGAACATTAATTTATTGAATAATGCCTATTACAGTAATAGTATACAATAAAAATAACTTGCAATCGCTCAAACGACAACGAAATTATGTACAAAACTAAAATTAACTAACCTTAAAATGTCCTCAGCAATAGCTGAACTGCACGCAAACTTCACACGATTACCAATAGTCCAAAGCAAAATATTAAGCAAAATAGGCCCTATACAGGACAACAGGACAGAAATAGAAAAATATCGGCCAAAGAGAACTAAAAGTTTGGAGACCGTATTGACTGATTGTTAAACAAAAAACATATCAAATCTAATTTATTGTTTTACAAAAAAAGAAGAGATTTTGGCTTGTTTCTTTGAGTTTAATCTCTCGGCCATGATAAATGATTCTAAAACATCTAATGATTTAAACTGTACATCACCGACATCATTTCTGCTCTCCACAAATCGCCGAATTTCTCTCAGGTAGGTCATGGCGTCGGCTGCATTCGGTACTGGCGTTTCTTCTTCATCGGCCGGTGACCCGACGATCTCGTCCCCCGATCCATCGTCATTTTGTTCCTCGGTGTCGAGGACTTCTGCTACGATGTCGGCGTCAGTTAATTCACCGCACACAGCGACATTTTCGTCTACATTAAGAAAGTCCTCGTACAAGATGGTTTGATTGGGTGCCACATCCTCCCAGCCGTCGATTGGTAGAGTTTCGTCCGTTACAGTTTCTTCGGCGCTTTCTTCGTCGGTTTTAACAAAACCTGCCTTTTTGAAGCAGTTTTTTATTGTTTCCGGCTTCACTTTGTCCCACGCTTGTTTGCACATTCGCGATGCTTCTAAAATGTCCAGCTTTATTTTGAGGGCGTTTCCTTCCCCGGACAGGATATTCTCGACCAACAAACCCCTGTAAAAGTGTTTCAAGTTTTTTATGATCCCTTGATCCATGGGCTGGACAACAGAGGTCATGTTGGCTGGGAAAAAAACCACTTTGACATTTTCCATGACAGGTATGGTGTTGTGTGCCGTGCAATTGTCAATGAAAAGGAGAACCTGTCGATTTTCTTTAACAAACCGTTTGTCCAACTTCATTAGCCACTTCGCAAAAAGGTCACTTGTCATCCAAGCCTTAGAACTGCTTACATATTCTACTGGCTTAGACTTGACATTTTTAAAGCAACGAGGATTGGCCGATTTTCCAATCATCAACAAAGGCAGCTTTTGCGAACCATCCATATTAGCACCAACCAATAGCGTGATTCTCTCCTTGCTTAATTTCCCCCCGTGGCACTTTTCGTCCTTAAATGCAAGTGTTTTATCGGGCGTGCATTTGAAAAAAAGACCGGTTTCGTCAACGTTAAAAATATTTCTCGGGTCTCTGTCCTGGATCATCTCTTCCAGATCGTTCTTCCACTGATTAGCTTCCTGCAGGTTCACCGCCCCACTTTCACCACACACTGCCTTAAACAAAATTTTATTGCGCTCCTTAAAACCATCCAGCCACCCAGTGCTAGCTTTAAAGTTTTGCTTCCCTAATTCTTTAGCAAATTGCTCAGCCTTGATTCTAATCAAAGGACCGCTCACAGGAACTTTCTTGTCTCTGGTCTGCTTGAACCATTTAAGCACACAATTGTCGACATCCGGATTTCCTGGCTCTCGCGATCGTTTCCTGTCTTTATCAAATTCCTCTGCACTGCTGAGAATTTTATGTTTATTTTTTAAGTAAGTTGATAAGGTGTTGGGTGGAATTCCAAAGTCTTTCGCGATTTCAGATTTTTTCTTGACTCCTTTTTCCACTTCTTTGATCACAGCGACTTTTTCAGCTAATGTCAAAGTTTTATAAGACCCTGGTTTTTTGATGAGGTTGATGCCATGATCACTACACAGTTACACTCACTAAAAGTTAATGTATACAGTAGTGCAGTACGGTACGTTAAAACTACAGTACTGTACACGTAATCACTTGAAACTAAAAGTCTAAGACAACAGCAAAACTACGTTAGGTAACGGCCTTCACGCAAACCGATACAGACCACGCACAATGCGACACTGAAAAGAGGTCAGTGGTGGTGGGTGGGAGAGGAGAAAGGGGAAGGGAGTGTAGGGTACAATGACCTGTAGGGCGGTGGCGGGAGGGGAGGTATGAGTCATCAGACTAAACGCAGGCGCGCGAGGGCTGGCACTTGTTCTAACGCAAACATTTCGTCAAATGTGGCTTGGAATATGTTTTTTATTTATTATTTTTGAATATATTTAGAGTAATAATTTAATGATTTGGCACTTAAAAATTCGAATTATCCAAAATAAAATTCGAATTATCCACGTTATTTTAGCATTGTTTTAATACAAAATGCTAGGGACCACGGGAAAAATTCGAATTAAAGAAGATTTCGAATTAAAGAAGTTCGAATTATCCAGGTTCCACTGTATTGACAAAAAAACGGATTGACACCATCGTGCCGCCGTTGAGGGTGGGGGCCGTCGAGGTCCAGACCGTTTGTACTGCCAAGTACCTTGGGGTTATGGTGGACAGCAAGCTTAGCTGGTGATCAGATCTTCCGTACGGAGGACAAGGCCGCTAGGGTGGTTTCTTCTCTTAGCCGGTTGATGGCCAATGTCGGAGGGCCTCAGTCCTGTCGGAGAAGCCTGTTAATGTCTTAGGTCCAGTCCGTTCTCTTGTACGGTGCGGAGGTGTGGGCAGACGCTCTCAATAAGGAGGTATATAGGATGCGGCTTGTCCGAGTGCAGTGTCAGGCAGCATTTAGAGTAGCATCTGCCTACCGAACAGTGTCTGAACCCGATGGAGTCATCCCCGACAAACTTTTGGCGGTGGAGAGAAAGGCAATTTATCAGCGCCGTGGGGAGGACCAGGCACGAACAGAGGAACGCACCCACATCTACCAGCTGTGGCAGGAGAGCTGGGAACAGGAGACACAGGGACGCTGGACCAGACGACTGATACAGCAAGTCCAACCTTGGGTTAGTCGGCGGTGCGGAGAGGTGGACTTCTACCTCACCCAATTTCTGACGGGTCACAGCTTTTTCCGTTCGTACCTGTTCAGGATGGGCAAAGCTGTGTCACCCGATTGCATATACTGACCATGCATTCTCGATGACGTGGAACATACCTTTATCCACTGCCAGCGTTGTGAAAGGCCCCGCCTGGAGGCTCAACAGTTAGTAGGACAATGTCACAGTATATGCCTTATAATTCTATTGTAAAAAAAAATTGGCCCTTTTCTACATGAATCGAATCGTTATTTTGACTGCCATTGAATCTAATTGCGATTCAATGCATCGAAACAAATAGATTCAGAATTTTGATTAACTTCCAATGCTTCGCACACCCCTGTTGCGTACGTCTTCCGGTCTTCGTATCTCCTCTCAGCTGCTGGTGACCCTTTCCACAAGAACACTAAATTCATAGTTTTTCTAGAGTCTTTACAATAAGCAAGTGATGCATGTTCTACTGAACTGTTTATAACACAGCATAAACACATGACTGAGATTAGCTTGAACTTTTTTTGTCAACCAGTTACATTGGTTATTAAACAATGAACAGTAACAACTAATATACTATCTCAGGTTTAGTAAGAATTACTGGTCAAAAAATACAACTTTTACTAACTCTCAGTTCCAACTCGTAATGACTAAAGTTGACTTGACAAGGAACTCCGATGTCACATGGGTTGCAGGGGACACTGGTGCAAACTTTTTCATAAAAGGTTAATGATTTATGATTCTATGTTCTGTGCAGCTGTGTGTGATCCTGGAGCCGATGCAGGAGCTCATGTCCAGACACAAGGCATACGCGTTGCCTCCCAGAGACTGTCTCAAGACCACTCTGTTCCAGAAGTGGCAGAGAATGATCGCTCCCCCAGGTCAGTCCCATTATAGATGTCTATTTGAGTCACTTAACGTAGTATTACTGATTGCAATAATATACAGATGATCAATTATTAATGAACTAAGCGGACCCTGATTTAAAGAGTCTTAAATTTTTTACAGACATGAGATTTTCTCCAAGTAATAGTGTTATAATAGCTATTTACGTTGCAAGTGTAGGAAGAGCGTTTTTACATCACGCAGGTGAATGTTGTGCAACGACATAAGCGAGTTGCATAATTAACCTAAGTGATGTAAACACGCTCTTGCGTAACGTGTAACGTACAAGATTTTACCTGACCCAACAATATACAGGGGGGCTACGTACAATATTTTTATGTCCCCACAATATACAGGAGAACGGGGTGTGAATAAGTTAATCTACGTATATAAACTGGTTTGTTTTTAAGTAAACTTTTTTTATTGATTACAATAAAATACAGGATATTTTTACTTGGAAACACAACATAAACCTTTAACTTATATTCTAACAGTAACGTTCTTTTACAAACAAAAGCTAGGTTAGGAAAATACTTTAAAGCATAACAATAACACTCAAGTGCACAGCTGATTTCTAGCGTTGAACTTCGTTGGCTCCATAGAGGTATATTTTATTAAGTTGAGCACTCAATGATATTTGAATGGGTTTCATTACTTCACCGAGTGAAGTATAAAAGTTGTTTACATCAAGCTTGGGATAGGTAAGTTTAGTTGGGATAGGCTGGTTGGGTAAATATGTATAAATCTTGGTTTATGGCATGAAAAAGAGTTTATTTCTAATGTTTTAAGTTGCAATTTCTACTTCATCATTGTAGGCAACCAGTGTGAATGTTCTGTGGAGCCGTGTGTAATCCTTGAGCTGATGCAGGAGCTCATATTGTGAGCTATTTACTGCATTGTGTTCAATTTTGTGAAAATGTTTTATTCTTTTCATAAGATAGTTAATAATTCCAATGAGTTATTTCTGTTTCTTTTTTGTGTAGGCCTATAAAACGTCCACTACTTTGTTATTTAGAATGATTTCTCCTGTTTCTTTTTTGTCTTCATGTTATAGTATTGTTCAGTTAACAATTTTGTATTCATATTTATAGAATCACAACGTCCTGCTAACAAGCGACGGAAAAGGAAAGGTTCTCAAAGTGGTGGTGCTGCGAATAATGCTCCTCCTCTGCCAAATAAGAAGAGATCACCGGGTCCCAACTTCTCCTTAGCATCTCAGGTATTTGATACATACAAACATTATAATTCTATCTTTAAGTTAGTCAACTGCAGTGAAGAATAATGCCATATTTCCCTCTCTACGGTCCTCACCGTACAAATGTTAAGTCCACACACATTACAACCATAACAGGTCATCAAACACAATCTGTCAATGATTGATGAAACAAGCTTGTAAGCTTATGTGTGTTGAGGATTTTAGTAGGCCTAGATAATAGGAGTAATGGGAAAACATTTGCATGAATTGGAGTTTCTAGGTTTAATTATTTGTTTTTGTGTATTTATGATGAATATTGACATTTTCCTATTAAACAAACTGATAATCATTGTATAGCTGTATGCCAATAATGTTGTATGTGTACAGGATGTGATGGTGGTGGGCGAGCCGTCTCTGATGGGAGGAGAGTTTGGTGATGAGGACGAGAGACTGATCACACGGCTAGAGAACACGCAGTACGATGCAGCCAACAGTCTGGACCATGACGCACACTCCTTCACAGAGACTGGGCCTAACTCATGGGGTACAGGGGGCGAACCTGCCCGCGGACCCCCCCAAGCCCCCTCGAGTCAGGACTCTGACAAAAAGTCCCCGGCAGTCAGTCAGTGATATAAGCCCCTACAGTAATCTCTTACTTATCAGTATTCAACTGCTTGTTGATAAGCGGGTTTGACTATTTTCTATATTTATTTCCTAGAACGGACTTAATCGGAACAGCAATTAGTGCAGTGTCGGCTCCTGCCTCTACCAAAGTTCTGCTTGCGACGTGAGAGTGGGGAAGGACGAGTATTATCGTTTTTAAGATGTGATTTTTATATAATAGGTGCAATTTTATGAATGAGAACTTTTAAGTTAAAAGAATCACAGTGTCAGTAAAAAAGTGAGGAAATGTAGCAAAGTTTTGGTAAAGACATAGATTTGGCTGAATAGTATTTTTAATATTCAATCATCAAAAATCTGGGGAATGTTTATAAAGCATTTTTCTGTGGGTAGTCTTTTGATAGCTTGAAAAAAGTCCTTTGTTAGATGTCTAAAACCAAAAGTTTTGTATCTCAAAAATTAAAACTAACTTAAAAAATTGAATATTGAACATCAAACGCAAAACTTTTTACCTGTCTGGTTAAGGTTACAAACAAACAAAAAAAAACATGTAATAATAAAATGTTTTATGTAATCAAAACTGAAATGAATTGGACTACTACTGACCCTGGCATAATAACAAGTATATTTATTATTCAACTAATATACTTAAACCTAAAAAGATAATTTTCCATTAACAATAATATAAATTAAACTGTTCATACTGATATAATTATGTGAATATGATATCAATTTGAACATTTATTAAGAAATCAATCTTAAAACTCGCCGATCAAATCTCAAAAGTGCATCTTTTCCAAAGTTTGGGTGGTTTTGAGTTTCTGGGTGGTTTTTATCCAGACGGTGTCACTATTAGATAGAATCATAATTGATAGTCAATTGGCAAATAGCATGTTCTATTAGTTCACTGAAATGGTAATAGCTATATTAAAGTAGCGGGTTTCAATTGTTTGTCAACAAGCTAGCACCTTCAGTGTTTACATGATTGACCCTTCTTAACTCCATAAAAATAACATGGGAATTTTAAATTTACAATATTTTAGAATTTTCTCCGTAACCATTAGGCCCATAGTAACACTTCAATATACTAAATTATTTGTTTTTTAAGCTCTGCAATATGGTTTTGAAAGAATTTGCTAATTTTTTTGTGTAAACACCCGTCCCCGTAGTCCAATCATCCTGGTTCCCGAACTCGTTCGAATAAATGTAGGTTTACATGTTGTTACTATATTTCATCAAAACCGTATCATTTTTGCTTGAGTTATTGTGCTAACGGACACATATAAAAAATATAAAACACATCTACCATAGCCATAATGTTCTACCACTTTGCCTAAACAATAGAGAAAAATAAATTATCAACAATTCTCAAAATATCACAAATTATTCATGAAATGAAAAACTTAAACATAACTTTAAACAATCCTACTTTGACAGTTCTCATTGTGAATCACAGTTTTTTGTTGCTGCTTAGTTCAAATTAGCTTTTTTCATATATGCAAAAAAAATAGTGCTGCACCCTGTTGGTAAATCTTATAACTTTTTAATGCTTTTCCATATCATAGAACCAACTTTTTTAGTTGAAACAGCTGACTAAATTCTTTAATTCCCTTTAAATATGAATACTCATAAGGTTAACATGGGGAATTACAGAGCCACTGGGGCGGAACCCGAAAGGATTTTTGAGATAACAATATGCCTATATGTTAATCGGGAATGTAAGCTATCATCATGCCAAATTTCAGCCCAAACCGTCCAGTGGTGTATGCGTGATTGAACTTCAAACACACAAACAAACAAACACACAAACTTTCACATTTATAATATTAGTAAGATATATATATACATATATGATTTGAACGGATGGTGGTTTTGGCCTCTAGAGACCTCAAAAAGAAAAAGTAAATCGGTCCCGGGTCCAGGTCTTACCATGAGTACTACGGTAATAGCTTATTCCCTATATGGGAAATTCGCTAAAAGGCTTATAGTATGTCTGACCTGAAAACTCTGTCAAAAGTGCCAAACATTCCCAGTAGACTGGATAGGTGAGTGGATAAAGTGCTCGCCTACTAATCAGAAGGAAACGGGCCCCAGCTGTGTTGATCATTGGGGCCTTTAATCAACTGTGTCCTGATTGGAACAAAACTATCACCTGATTCATTCAACTCTCATTCTTGACTCGTCTGCGCCTTGATATACACACCCTTGTGTTTTGGTATCATGCAAATGTTATCTTATCTAAAAAAAGATTGCTTGGATTAGTGGGATTATGCTGTATTTACCAATGCCATCAAAATTTGAAACAAAACTTACTAAACACCTAAGTGTTGCTGGTTAGACCAAAGACTAGTTTTGAATTATGATTCAAGTGGAAATTGTACAGTGTAATGTCTACCACTTTACACAAAACATTCTTATCTACACAACACAGTAGTCAATTGCTCAGAACTATCAAATAAACTGCTATAATAAAAGTATTGCATTTTCAGATTTCATTTCTTACTCACTTGTACTGAATGATAGTGTGATTCTTTGAACTTAAAAGCTAATTAGAAGAGTTGATGAAACTCTTTAAGTAATGTTATTACACCACTTTGTTAGATTACCATCACCCTTAAATTCCTTATGTAAGGCAGATTGTTTATATATATTATATTTGATTTGTACATGTGAATAAATGCATTGTAGTTAGGTGTAATTGCAATTTCTATATTATTATGTACATTATTATTATTATTGTTAAGTACAGTAAAAAAGTTTATGTTTCAGTGGAGGGTAAAAAATTGTGTACATGATTGTATAAAAAATACAAGGCTCTACAATGATGCTCCTCAACTATGACGTTTGAATTATTCAAAAACTCGGTAGTATTGTTCTACTTAAATTTATTTATTTGTTTGAAAGATACATTTTGTTGGCTATGTGTATTGTTTTCTCCAGAGAAAGGTTTTAGATATAATTTAGGCTACATGAGTAATATAAACTTAAACGTCCTAAAAATAGACTGTTTACCAAACCATTGGGGAAAAAATCATTTTTCCTTTTTTTTTTTTGTGACAACTCTAAAAGATATATTTTTTGGGTCCATCATTTTATCCATATTCAGTTGAAATTTAGTTAACCTCACCTTCTTACTTAAATCACTTTTTGTCTGCAATATTCTTAAAGACTTTGGTTGAATAAAGTTAAAATAAATTGTCATGTACAGTTTTATAAACAATTTATTGTTTAGTTCATTCATAAGCTAGGTACTTTTCTAGTTTTAAAAACATTTTATATTTATAATTATATATACATAACAATAATTTTTTCCTCAGTGTCCAGTTTTGAGTGAGTTTATTAGAGATTATATAGGTAAGCCTTCTAACTTCATATATTTTACTTGTCATATTAATTTATTTTTGTAGTTTTTCGATATACTGCAAATTGTTAAGTTCTACAATAAATATGAAAAAGCTCGTAAGTTTTAGAACTATAATTATATTTGAAATAGGTAGTAAAAGCCATGACCGTTGAAAAAGACGTGCGGTTAGTAATGGTAAATTTCCAGTCTTTAAAAATCTTTAACTGGAAGCTTAAATGATACTGTGCAACAAGTTCTAATAATGAGCACTTTTGTTAGGCTCAGTGGACAAAGGCTAAAGGTTACAAAAATGTATCTGTGCTAAATAATTTTAGCCAACTAAAGATACCTGTAGAGCTCTTTCACTCACTCAAATGTGTATGGGCTTTGATATAAAAATCTAAGAAGTAATTAAAAAGTTTAATCAAAAGAAATAATTCACGGGAGAAACATTTTATGACAATTTAGACTCTATGCTACAACTCTTAGACTACAAAATGGCTTATGATTTCTTCATTCTTGCAACTTAAAGCTAGAAAACTGAAATAAGTAGTAGCTTTGGCTATTGATACAACTAGACATAGAAAGTCCCCATGTTAATTAAACTTCATGTGAGCCGCTGACAGATTTTGCTGATCTAAATTAATAATTTCTACCGAATATCAAAACTTTTTCACCAAGATAAACTGATGGAACGTCTTATTGTGAGCTATAGCAACTGATATGACCCATCAACTATGACAGCAGCAAAGATAAGGTAGAAAATAGAATTTGTACAAACTAGCACATTCTGTGACTGGCTCACACAACTATATTAATTTTTAATAAAAAAATTGGCGACAACTGGTCCATATAGATGGGAAGTCTACTTCAGTATCCCAATGGTAGTAGATAAATAAAGCGAGATAAATGGAGTACTAAAAATAAGAGTATTAATTTTTATATAGCCTATAATGATTTCTGGTTTTTATGTTATCATAAATCTTTTCAACAAGTTAAACTGAATTGAAGGAGCAAAATGTTTATCTACACAATATTACTAAAGTCGGAAATTAAGGATCTTCAATAGCTAATGGGAGTAGTTCTTAACACGTTCGCTTCGGGCCACTCTCCTGTGAGTGCTCTAGTTCCTTTCTGCCACCCTGAAAGCTCACCCAAGAGTGGCCTACATTTCATTCAATTTCTGCGTAGAACCACACCAGGAAGAACGGGTATTTTTATGTCTGCGTTTAGCTAGTAATGGGTGCTTTATTGTGATTTAGGTTGGTAGTAAATTTTCCCGTAAAGTAAAATCTCCTTCTGGCAAGCTTAGAAATCAACTTGTCTTTCACCCTCCAATTGGTAATACAATGGGACCGGCTAGTTCCAGACAGTGCTGTTATCTGTGAGTGTTTCAGCAAACTACGTCGACTAATGTCGTAACGCAGAACATCACTGCACGTCATTTGCTTTTCGTCAGACCAAAATATTTGAAAGCCAAACGGGTTCACTCGACACTGCGCCGCACCGGGGCTACGCCTGCCATTGATGGGGCCGCAGCGAACGTGTTAATTGATAAGTTTGAAAAATAAAAGAATAAAATACTGTTAAATTAACTCCATAATGTAGCTTTTGATCTAGACGTATTTTCTTTCATTTTGTGTTGATATTAATTAATTGTTTTGTTAGTTACTTTAAAACTCTAAAATAGGAATATATTATTTTTTTAAAGGTCGTTTTGGACCGCATCAATTGGGTAGATGGTTAGGGAATCTGCTTGTTGAAAATTAACGTTATATTTTTTATAGGAAAAGGATTACAGAAAACATTTTAAGAATCATCCCCAAACATAGATGACAGACCAATCAGCACTTTTGACTAATAGCTTAGTCTATGCCTGTATACTGTTCAGTATGTAAATTCATGGTGTTTCTCCAGCCATACCAATAAAATCAATCAATATTTATGAAATGCACAGGCTCATTTCTTGTTACTCTTGTTTATATTCCTTCCTTCATACACAGCTAGCTGACACTAATTTCCCGACCACGGCTTCACCTCGGTTTTCAGACTGTGGCCGAAAGAGCCACTCTAGGTCCTATTTACAAAATATACCATTTTTAAATACTCTTCCCTTATGAACACTTCATTACCCGTGTTCAGAACTTTGTTTGCAGAGTAGTCCTAGCAGTCAATCCAAATAAAGTTGACCAGAATGAAACTAATCAAACCAGCTGGTAATTAAGAGTTCTTGAAGCATAGGCGTTCTAACTCATAAAACAATTATTAAAGAACAACAAAGAAAATTTCTAATCTCACAGTAAACAAAATATTTAAATTACAATCACTCTGGTGTTTGAAAACATATTTTTGGACGGTAAATAACTCTTCAGCGGCTGTTTGAAATTAACATTGATCTTATGGTGGGCAAATCCAAGATGGCCATTTGCTTCCGTGGACCCCTTGGAGAACAATTCAAAACTACAAAGAACATTTCTAATCTCACAGTATACTAGATATTTAAATTATAATCACTTGGGTGTTTAAAAAATATTTTTGGACGATAAATAACTCTTCAGCAGCTGTTTGAAATTATCCAAGATGGCCGCTAGCCTCCAAGGACTCTAAGGATGAAAATCAAATAGGAATGCCTGCTAGTGAACTAATACTATTCT